TTTTCCTGGGTCTTTTCACGTGTGTTATGAATAAATCTTCTTTTTTTCGGTACCGGTACTAGTTTTATTTTGTTGTATTTATCCACGACACCTTAAAGGCCGGTCCGTGAAAATATTGTCGGGCATAAACCAGTCCGTGGTGCAAAAAAGGTTGGAGACCGCTGGTGTAGATACTTAAATGTAAACTACTGAATGAAAGTTTGCTTTAAAATCACAGGTGAATGAAAGGTAATGCAGAGTTAGTTTCTTGATAAACTGCATCTCCATTAAAAAAGAAAAACAAATCATTTTCATTAAATGAACTCCCAGCACTGACCATTAGTTCATCAGGAACAAGTGTTGGGTTCCAGCTGCTGGCATACATGCGATATACTTTACGCTTGTCCACATGCTCCAGAATCCTCTTGCAAAGCAGATCAGCAGCACTGTTGGTTGGAGTGCATGCCAGAATGTAGCAGTTAGCTTGTGTCTTCTCTATCTGCTTGATGGCCTCCACCACAGTCACTGTTTTTCCTGAATAGAACAGGAAACATAAAAACGGCATCAGCTGAGTTGCATTTTCAGACTTATGATAAGTTCCTTCTATAGCAGCTCAAAAGCAGAGGCGTAGCAATCTTTGGGACCCAGTACCTGTTCCAGGTGGACCAAAAATCAGGTAGGGGGCAGGTTTGGATGAGCCAGCTACAATGTGTTGTACTGCCTGATATTGCTCTGGATTTTTCTCCAGCTGCCTATCAAACAGCCTGTTGATGGAAAAATAAATGGAAAAAAAGGAATAATTTTAGAGCTGAATCACATGCCTGAATCACTCCTGTCATTTTAGGATGATTTATACATTTTAAGTGTATACAGAGAACCAAAATTTCAACCTCGGCTGAGTAGTGCAGCACTGATGATCATCCATTATTTATTTACATGTAGAGAAAAAGGATAACACATGCACTGTGTATTAAAAAAATTATATGATCAGTCTACTAGAGTTTCTAACCTGAGATTGGGAAGGTCCTTTGGCTGAAAGGACATGTTGGGTTCAGCAGGAAACAACACGCTTTCCAGTCTACGTGAAAAGGCCAGTTCTGCCGCTCTGTGCTGGAGACGCAGAGTCACGTGGTTTATAGTGAACTCAACACTGAACTTCATACCTTCTACAAAGCGGCTGACCAACCTGTAAAGAAATTCACAAAATCTAAGATGCCACAAATATCAATTTATTTATGAAACAGCAGATATTAATTCCGATTGGACTTGTATTTTTATAATGCTAAACAGTCATCATCTTACTGGGAGCTGAAACCCAGTTTAACACTGTCCAGCTGCACACTGTGGACGTAGCCACAGTACTTGACCCCTGGTTCTCCAACAGGATACACCAGCAGCTTGTCTCCTCGGAGCACAGAGGGACGGTTCTCAGCCACACCAGGCACCTGGGAAAAGGGACAAGAGCTATGTGTCACAAGGATAACTGTGATGACACAAACATGAGCTGAATGTGTCCCACAAGCTGCCACAAGCAGTCAAGGTTGTGTAGAGGTCCTTGTCATTTTTAGGAACCGACATGAAAAACAAGCTTAACATATGAATGGGTCAGTGAAGAATGACCATATTTAGGTATGTAGTATGTTTTGTATGAGTTTGATATGGGTTTAAATGAATGACTTTTTTCTGCAGTAACTTATGTAACTCTTCTCTGTTCATATTGATAGACTATGAAACCAGAGCCACCAATATGCTTTAAAATGAAACCTTCAGTTATACGCTCACTAACAGCTGGCTTATTTCTTAAACTTTTTACATTTCTCTTTATTTTTCAAGTGTTGTACTGTTCTTTCTCACCATATTAAATATAGTAGTTAGAGAGGCTGAGCTGTTAGTTGGTATTAATTTTAATAATCGAACTAATGGTAACAACTAAATGTGATCAGAATCAAATATCTGACATATCTGATATATTTACCTCCAGAACAAGAAGCTTCTTGTTCGTTTTGTCTTTAGTCATGGTAGCGTGTCCTTTGTCAGTGTTGGGGATGTTGTATCTCTTGATGTCCACCTCCATCTGAAGCTCCTCCAGATACAGCAGCACCTGGAACCTCTCTGTGTAGTTCTCCCAGTTCAAGGGACTCTCCAGTATGGCTCTTTGAGACACACATATGAAAAACAGATGACATTGTATACTGCAAATCATATCACAGAAGCTGAGTTGAGATTTGAGCATCTCAGAAGATCAGAGGCATTGATTCACTGTTTTACTGCAGGGGTTCAGTCCAGTTCTTTCAAGTATGGCTTTCTTTTCTAGCTGCAAGCAGAAATAATTAAATAATAATTAACTTATGTTTTCCTGTGTTCTTTCACATTCCTTGCTTTGTATAATTTCTTAATTGCTGATCATTGCTGTTTGTCACCAAGATTACACAAAAACTACCAAGCTTGAATTTTGTGAAAATGTAACTATAATCACACACAATGTCAGGAGAATGGGGTGACGTGTTTTCCACAGTCGCCCTTTCTCACATATAGCAAACAGCAGTGTCTTTTAGAAGAATTGTCACTACTGGAAATACTGGATATGCAGGGCAAACTAGACATCATGCCCACTTTCTAGTGGTAAAAGCACCTGCTCCTTTCCCACAATGTGGAAGACCAACTAACATCCCATCCAGCTGGGAAGGACATCCACATACATTTACACTGGATAAGACCAAGAAACGTTGTGTAAAACTGCTTTGGTGGAGAGGTGTTCAAAAAAATAAGGCTACATTAGTTTTGGTACAGATGACATTCTTGGTAACTGCTTTCTCTGCTTTCTTCCACTGCCCCTCTAGTTAATCTATGTTTTTGTCCTATTGTCTCAAAAGAGATCATTGTTAAATATCATAAAAGATGTCACCAGATTAGTGAAATCTGAAGACACTGACAACAAACTGATAAAGTGTTTTAAAAATTGCAGTGTTAACGTAAAAAAAGAAAAAAAGAAAGAAAAACAAATGGAAAATAAACATGAGTGAGGCAAACTACCATTTAACATTTACCACAATCTCAAGGCTCTTTCTTACCTTTTAGCATTGGGCCAGGAGTGCTTCAGTGATTTAAGGAGGTCATGTATGTATGATGGTACTCGATACCGTTTTAGCTCAACCACATTTTTTAGACGCATTACTGACAGCCTTAAGGAGACAAAAAAAGAAAAGGTTTAATATTATAAAAGGCATAAAAATTTATTTTTGTACATTTACAGTGTACGTTTAACAGCTGAGTAAACTTCGGTACCCTTCAGCTGGCAGCCCATCCACAATTGTGTAATGTGCCTCAGGAGTCCAGGCGGGGATGGAGCGAGGTTTGTAGGGGGCTGTAGGTGCTAGCTCCAGTCCCAAGGAAGTTACACACTCAGCCTCAATAAAGCGCACAATGTAAAATGCAGCAGAGGATGGCTGCAGGTCTGGTTTGAATTCAAAGGCGAGTGTAGCTGGATAGAAACCAACCAAGCTGAAGCGGAAGACAGCCTGGATTTTATAGCTGTCACCTGAAACCCGGATGTTGAGTGCATTAATGGTCAAATTCTACCTGTAATCTGTGAGTCAAATGTGAGTCAAACGAGCTAGCTTATCTGTGATGCTCGCGTCACCTGGTTTTAGTGTCAGGGGGTTCTGTTTGGTCACTTTCTGCTCGTCAACCAGCGACAAGCACTTGAGCCAGTGTAGAGGTGTGTAGTAGGTGAAATACACAGTTTCTGTTCCAGTGTTCTTCACATGCAGGGTTATCTCGCTCTGTTAGCAAAACACATCATTTTGTAAAGTTTTTTCTTTGTTTGTTTGTAAGCACGTGTATATCGGGGAACATTGCAATCTGATGGCTTAAATACCTCAAAGGTCTCTTCCACACGTAAGTGAAGTTTTCCATTCTCAAACGAACGTTCGGATGTGATGCTGATCCCATTTTTGTCAGATATGAAGTGGGTTCTGTAGGTGGGAGAAGATCAGAGGCATTGATTCACTGTTTTACTGCAGGGGTTCAGGCCACTTCTTTCACGTTTGCCTTTCTTTTCTAGCTGCATGCAGAAGTAATACAGGCAGCAGAGGCGGATGCTCTGCGTGAGTGACAGAGGTTAATGGACTGAAGTAGCCACACTCGCACCTCCATGTTCTGCATACATGCCTGGCCTGTTTGCCACAGCACATGAGTTGTGTTTTCCCATGTTTCACATTTCATTTACTCATTAAACAAAAACATTCCTAATGGTTTGCCTTAAAAATAAAAAGCATGTTCACACTGTGAGTTGCATTGTGCAGAAAGGAGTCTGCCAGGTTACCTCTCTGACTTGAGTTTGTTCATCAGGAGACTGGCCA